GTGCAGAGCCATTCGCTTCCGGTTCCTGGTGACCCCACGTGTGCAGAGCCATTCGCTTCCGGTTCCTGGTGACCCCACGTGTGCAGAGCCATTCGGTTCTGGTTCCTGGTGACCCATGTGTGCAGAGAACTGCTCCAGGGGGTCTTCAAGGCTGGGGCCCTCTGGAGGCAGAGGAGCAGGCCTGTCTTCTGAGGAGCTGCTAGGTGGGTTCGAGCCCCCAACCTTCCAGCTGGTGGCTATGTTTAACTGCTCGTGGCCCCCAGGGCTCCTGTGCACATGTATCACATGTACGTGTATCTGTGACATTCAGCACGGTTCAGACAACTCCTCACTCAATTCACCATCCCATACCATTCCACCTGCCTCATGTGCAGAGGTGTGGCCACATCTCCTGACGACTACAGACGTAGCGGCCATGCCACGTGCCAGGAGCGTGGCATCATCACCCTGGGTGTGCGGCCATATGCTGGGCAGGGTCAGTGGGAACGTGCCCCTCGATCCTCCTCTTCTCCCCCAAGCACATGGGCTTCTCCCACTCCACGTCACAGCGCAGGCGCTCACGGACTCCGTGACCTGCTCGTTCTCTCTCCCTTCCCGAAACATCCTTGACTGGATGAGACTGGGCAGGAGGGGTCAGAACCCAGCCTCAGGGATCTGCCAGAGCGAGCGAGGGAACCCAGAGACTGGCAGGAAGTGGGCGAGGCGTGAGGACACACCCCGGGCCCTGCCCTGTCGCTCTCTGCGAGGGGAGGACCAAGCACAGCCCCAGCCCTTGGACACACCCGACTTCAGGTGCCTGCAGTGCGGACCTGCTGCTCACCCTTCCCTTGCTCAGGGCCGTCCAGGTCCCTTCTGCACAAAGAACCCTCCCTCTGGGAATAAGGTAAGGGCCACTCTTAGCGACCATCTCCCCCAAGGGAACCACAGGTCCAGGCCCGTCAGGTCACATTTACGGTGTCACATGACCAAAGCAGCCGGATGGCAAGTGGCAGCTGTGTGGGCCAGGCCAGGTCTCTCAACTCCTGGGTCAGGCTCCTTCCAACACAGACCAGTCTCCTAAAAGCCAGTTGCACCAGGGTGAGACATGTTATGGGCCACGGGCTAAACTGCAGAGAAGCTGCAGGTAACTACAAGGTTGTGCACAGCATTAAAAAAAAAAAAACCCACTGCTGTGGAGTTGATTCCAACTCATAGAGACCCTGTAGGAGAAAACTGCCCACAGCGTTTCCAAGGCTGTCAATCTTTATGAAAGCAGACTACCTTATCTTTTCTTCCACGGAGCAGCTAGTGGGTTCAAACCACCAACCTCTTGGTTGGCATCTGAGTACTTTAACCACAGTGCCACCAGGGCTCCTTCTGTAAAGTGTAAACTAGGGTCAAAGCTGCTGTCCCTGGTTTGCTGACCTCTAAACACAGTTCCACTAAGCCAGGCTACATCGCTGCGTTTAGGAAGCCGCCCGTGGGGGCCTTGCTGGATGTTCCCGTCCATGGAAGGAGATTAAGGTAGCAGCAGCAACAGACAGGCCGGCTCTGCCCCCAACCTTGGCGTCCACCTCCCCAACCCGCCCTGTAGGGCCCGGCACAGCGCCTTCCTCAGATCCACAGCCCACCCCCGCACAGCCTCGGCCAAGCCCGCGCCTTCCACACGTGGTTCCCAGGTGCCGTCGCGCCGACGCGGCAGAGCAGACCCGCGCACTTTCTGGGCTGGGACCTCTCGGAGGCAGGCCCCAGGCCTGGCTCTCCCCTGGGTGTGCTGGCCACCTTCCAGCTGCTGAATCACCCAGGGACTCACTCGCCAGCTTACAAAGGGAGGTGGGCACTCGCGCAGGTGCACTGCGTCTCATACTTTTCTGCCGACGAAGGTCTGCGGCAGCCCGCAGCGAGCGTCTATCAGCGAACGCCTCTCTTCCAGCAGCAAATGCTCACTTCACGTCTGCGTCCTACTTTGGTCATTCGTGCACTGTTTCAGACACTCCCTAACGGCACTACATTTAAGAGACTACAGCGTAGTATCAACATCACTTTGACAGGCACGAGGAAAACGCATGACTCGTTTGATTGCCATCTTGGCTTTAATGCAGTGACTGGAACTGAGCCCACAGTATCTCCGAGGCATGCCTACGTCGCCTCTATCTATAGACAGAGAAACCAAGGCTCCAAGTGACGAGATGTTTTGCCCAGCGTCCTCTGCATCCCAGACTGGCCAAACGGGAAACGCATGCGTGGGGCCTCCACCTCCCAGTCCTGTGTCTTTCCAGATTTTGGTCCCCAGGTGGGCTCAGCCACTCTAGGCTGGGAGGGCGGGGAGGCTGTCTGTGTGGCATCCAGCAGGCCCGCTGAACTCGAGCACGTGACTTACACACCAAACTTCAGTTTCTGCACCTTCCAAAAAACAAGAGACAGCAACCCAAAGGTGCCTCGCTGCAGGCGCGGAATCTGAGTGACCGCCCTGTCACCAGATCAGAAAGCAGTTCCTCTTCGCAGAAAGAAGAGGCTTTTCACCCGAGTCGGCAAGACCGTCCTCTTGGAGAAGGCGGCTCACAGCGGTGTGGACAGGTCAACCCAGAGGGGCCCTTTGGACCAGTCTCATCCTCCAAACCCACAGCCAGGCGCTACTCCCGGAAGATCGCAGCTGGCACCCGGCCAAAAGGAAACCCAGTGACTATGCTTCCGCTAAACATAACGGAAATGGCATCATTTTCACGGGAAAAGAATTTAAAATGCCAGCATCGCATGCTTCCTGAT